AGTTCGGAAGACGTCCGTGAGCCGAGAGCGAGAGCAGAAGAACGGCATCCTTGGTATCCGGCAAGCCCAAAGAAGAAACGTTTGTGCCATAGACACGAGTGGTGTTGAGCCCTCCAACAGTAAAAGGAACTGATTTCGGCGTGCCCGCATTACCCTCAATAGGGCGGCCTGACAGGTCCAACCAGGTCAAGTCCACAGTACCTGCTGCAGGGCTCCACAGGTCGGAAGTAACATAGACATCCAGTGATCCTGTAGTATAGTTCCAGAAAGGTGAGACAATAACAGGCTGATAGATATCTCTCATAACGTGATGTAGAACCTTCCATCTGCCCCCGTACTCAATGCCTGCCCATGACGGCGCTTGCCAGATGTCTTCGAGCTGCCAATACAGAGAGCCAAGCTGTCGCTCAGGCAAGCCACTTCCCCGACGGTAGAACTGGATCTGGCTCTTGTACATATCTGCCTGGAAGAGCTGGGTGGCGTGGCACCAGGCGCTAAAGTTGGAGATATGGTCGGATTTACTCGGGATCGGGTAGTAGCTTACCACGCCCATGGTCATTTCGCCCATGCCAGTGGCCGAGTTCGCGTAGTTGTCTGTCATGAGGCCGCCCGCGGGATCGTGGTGGTTGCGGAGCATTACCACACTGCTGTTGAAGTAAAGATCCTCAGTGTCAATGGCTTGCTGCCATGTCTGAAGGCTGGGCATGCTGTGGAAGCCGAATTCGTTCGCAAAGCGGCCTACCGGATAGGAACCGTAGTCAAAAGCCACACTAGTGTCGTAGTCATAGTGGTCGGTGTCGCCGTAGTATGAGCCGGAGGTAGTGTTGTCGTAACGTTCAGCCATAGGGACAGGAGCAGAAAGATCAATGTAGAGGTACCCCTCAGTTGTGCTGCTAGGGGAGTACGAGATGGAGCGAGTGTTCTCATAGACCAGAGGTAAGAAGAGACTGATGTACATCTTCTCGTACTCTCCAACATAGTAGGAATATGAAGATGGGGCTGCATCTTTGACACGTGGGAGCATCAAAGATTCGATTTCATTTCCGCCAGCCCATAGAGCTAGGGAGGGATGGTGGTTCACTCGTCGAACATTGTATACTATCTCAGCAGCAACGTTCTCGAGAAAGGCGTCGTCGGAGGGATATAAGGCGTCACTAAACTCGAACTCACTCCACAAGAGGATGCCCTTTTCATCGGCCAGATCATAGATGTAGTCATGAAGGTATGCGCCGGAGGACCACACACGGAGCATATTCTGGTTTCCTATCACAACAGCATCAAACAGCCGTGACATCTTCTCCTCTGTGACACGAGTCCAGAAACTGTCTGGTGGGATGAGGTTGGATCCCTTTGCATAGAACTCGTGACCGTTAACTTCGAAGTGCCAGTTTGCTCCAGGAGCAATTCCTTGTGCGCGCTGTGTCTCGGTAATATTGCGCTGGTTGAGGAAAATGGTGCGGAAGCCCGTCCGTTTGGTTACATTGGCCAGAGTCTGGTTTCCGCTACTATTGACGGTAATGGACACGTTGTAGAGGTTCTGATCGCCGAGACCTTGCGGCCACCACAACTTTGGAGTGAGCCCATCGAGAACGGTGACACCGGTTATGGAGTTGCCAGCCACAGTGACATTGTTCAAGGTACGTGAAGTAAGGATCGTGCCAGAGCGAGCGTCGCGCACTTCAATCGACATGGTCGGTTTTGCAGGAAGTGGACCCAGAATGTCGATGCTAGCGTTGACAGCCCAAGGTTGGCTTTGGTCTGGCGGGAGGTAGTTAATTTGGCCCTTTCTGTATATATCTAAGTCTGTGTTCAGGACATAAGCGCTTTGCTTATTGTCTAGCTGAACGATATATGCAGGTTTCCACGGGCCTGCGGGCGCAAATGCTGGACCCCAATCCCAACCAAAGTCGGACTGCTCTTTGCGCATAAACCACCGGTTTGGATATTCATAAGTGAGCTGGACATCATCAGGCCATTCTACAAACAATTAGCATGGCCTGGCTTTGCTGGTCTCCCACATTAAACTTACTTTGCGAATTAGGATCTTGGGCAATAGCATCGACAATGTTCGGCGCGCTCCCAAAGTTGATGCTCAGAACAGGATCTCCTTTACAGGATCCTAGAGCGGTGGAAACATCGAACGCATACTGGCGAAATTGATTATCCGTTGACGCAATCTGCTGACCACAAAACGAGATGGTTGCAAAAGTGTCGAGTCCGTCGAATACCAGCCACGTTGAGTCGTAATCATCCAGGCTATTGAGTTTTAGTGTTGACGTACTTAATGCATAGAACTAATTGCTACTCACAGGCCTTTGATGGGTTGACTGGTATAAGTCCAGTTGGCGGCGGCGATCCAGCGAAGATTGAAATCATTTAATCCATGGTATCTGCAACAATATTTAGTGTCTCATTCGGGTTCATCGCAGATCAAATCACTTACGGTTCATCTATTGGGTAGTCAGCAGATGTATAATAGAGGGGCTTGATTTCCAACAGTACTTACCAATTACTCCGGCCCTTAGTAGATCCAAGTGAACCTGCGATGGGAATTCAGCAGGAACTGTCCGATTCAAGGCTCGACTACTGAGAGACCATTGCACACTGCTCAAATCTCGAACATGTTGACCCAGTGCTACAGGTAGGGTTGGTGCTAGTAGTGCCGCTGCTAATCCGATGCCGTGGCGCATGGTGTGCAGCTGGAAGAAAGGCGATTTGCACTGGAAAAGCAAGACCTAAATTCCTACTCAGCGAGGGATCATCGCAGGGTATAAATGCGACGGCAGAAGCTGTGAGCGAGTTCAGACCTGCGTGTGCGATTCTCGCAGTGACACACCGAAGCAATGACTTAGTCAGTGGAGCAGGAGTGTGGAACGCATAGACGGGGATAAGTCCGTGATGAAAAAGGAAAGAGGACGATCTTATGGCACCACGGCGACCGGGATCAGGCAACAGAAGCAGAGCAAATTATGTCTTACGCTATGAGGGAAGGACAGGGATTGAATCGGCTAATTGCAAGGCAAGATCAATTAAGCCAACGCCCCAAGGCCGGCGAAACGTCGGCGAGGGTACTGATCTGCAGCAAATGAGGGGTAGAGAAATATTAGCTAAACCGGAGTGACATAGATTGGTTACATCTTGGCTCAAGCTAGGGTTCTGGCTCAGGAACGAACGGGATGCCGCGGACAACCGGGGAAGGGGAACGATGAGGAAAGCAGTTACCCAGCGAGTGCCAGATCAGTAACACCTTTCTTTTATTCTCTATTTCAATTCCATCTGAGACCTTACTGTGATGAGCTTTCGCGTTCCTTATTTACCAGATCTTAGATTGTCCGCTCAAGGGCCCGATGGCTCAACCCGCAGGTTTTGGCCTGTTCGCCGGTTCGGACCATCTCCGCATCGGCCTTTGCTCATAGGCCCCACCCGGGCAACCCTGAACGACCCCCAAGTGCGGGCTGGCGGGATTAGCGTAGGAGCCAGGGTAGCTTACGGCAATGAAGATACAACTAAAGGTCCCACTGTGCCCGCTCCCTTGTTGAGGTTCACGATTTATGAACAATGACAGCGTCAGAATCCATACAGTATCGAAGTCTATGGTCCGGGTCAGAGTGCTAGAAAGTATAGCCAGTGACAAGTGGACAGAGGCAAGTGGGATGTTAACGGCCACATGGCATATTTTCTTTACAATTTGGGAAGTGAAAACTTCGACCGCCAGGATAGTGTATCTCACAGGAAGGACCATAGTCTCGATGAGATGGATAAGAAAACGCTCGGGCAACAGTTGCGAAGCGAACTTTGATACAGTGTGTCAACAATCCGAGTAACCTCGTTTGCCAATTCATACTGAACACCAGAAAATCTGCCTACTTCATCTCTCAAGACAGATGATCGAGCGTTGGCTTGGTACGGCAGTAATCTTACAAGGCAGTCTGATGCTACCCAATGAGTACAGTATTTGGCCTTGCAGAGGTTTAAGAGCTGGTTTGAGTTGCCTTGTCCGTAGAGTAGACTTGGTTCTTTTGCGCTCATGATTTGAGTATATTCGAGCCCCTATGGCAGTCTGCTGTCATCGCCACCACTATAATGTTCCAAGCCCACCGTGAACCCCGAGGGGAGGAAGCCAGAAGTTGCAATAATTTTCACATACTCAATAGTACTAAGCGCCGAGCAAAGCGTTGTTGCCCCCGGTTTCAGTACAAATTAGGCTGTGGCGTAAAGAATAGCAAGATGGAGAACCGGTGTTGTTCAATTATACCTAGAGCTTGAGAACTTTGCAGGCCCTGCGCCGTCCACGCAAGACTATAGTCCTGGACACCATCATCCAATACTTAAAATTCGCAGGAACTAATGCATTATGCAACCCAAAAGGGATCAACGTAGAAAAGGTCAATAACGGAGAGCGGTATACATGCTCCAAACATGATATTAACCCTACAGGTGTCGCAACTGACCACCCAGTTGCCTGTGGGTCTGCATCCTATGTCTTCACTTCCAGCCACTTGTCACTTCCTAGCCGTAGGTTCCTGCAGATCTGATTAACATAGCCTTCTCGGATGACTACAAAAGTGCTGTAGTCGAGCCGTTTGCGCATCATTCAACGCCTATCCCCGAGACTCCTGGTCTAGGATGGGGCCAATGCAAATTTAATTTGGTTAAATTGCCCAATCAAGGCTGAGGATCTTTGCCGTCACGAAACAAGAGTACTGCAGCTGCTGTACTTAGAAGGGACGTGCGTACCACAAACGCATGCTTAATTGTTTCCCCTTATCTTACCCCGCCGCTGAACTACCGAACGAGGCTGGAGTTCTGCAACTTCTACTCTGTAGTCACTCGGCTTTTATGGTACTTTTATATCTAATCCCTGGCTGTATCTCAAAGTAATATGTGGTGGCAAGCTTATCTTTCCGATTAAGATCTCCTGCCTTTGTATATGACAGTTACACATTCCAATTCTTCTTAGATCCCCCTTTGCCGCTGGCCATTAGTTCAACCATCACATTATGCGCCTCCTCAATGTGAAAACACTCAAGCTGGAGTATTTCTATGGATCAGTTCCCGCATATGCTATTCTGTCGCATACGTGGGGAGCTGATGACGAGGAATTGTCATTCGACGATATTGAAGATGGACGTCTCCAAAAAGGAGCTACTATGCCTTACAAGGTCGCAAAGTGTTGTGCACAGGCAGAGAAGGATGGCCTCAATTACGCATGGGTTGACACTTGTTACATCATAAAGGCTGACCCTACAGAGCTCGGTGAAGCCATCAATTCCATGCTTCGATGGTACAACGAAGCAGCTATTTGCTATGCCTACCTGGCAGATGTCAGCTCTGGAGAGAATGGGCGTTTCCCGTTGACTCAATTCTGCTCCTGTCGCTGGTTCAAAAGAGGCTGGACGTTGCAAGAGCTACTGGCACCTGATAACCTTCGCTTTTATGATTCTCGCTGGCACTACCTTGGAACAAAAGCAACCAGGTCAAGCACGATCGAGCGAAGAATAGGAATTCCGCGTCGCTTTTTGCAAGGGACGGTGCTGAGTGAAGCAAGTGTTGCACAACGTATGTCCTGGGCATCCAGGAGAGAAACAAAAACGGGAGGAAGACATCGCATATTGTCTTCTTGGGGTTTTTGATGTAACAATGCCAATGGTCTACGGCGAGGGTAGCTATCGTGCGTTCACTCGCTTGCAGCAAGAGATAATGAGAAAGTCGAGGGGTGAATCTATGCTAGCTTGGGGCTTTCAAGCCACTGAACAGAAAGCGGCCAATTCGAAAAGTACCAGCATATCTGCAGGTGTCCTGGCAGCATCCCCGGCCGACTTCATGAATTGTGGAGATATTGTCCCACAAAAGAAAAAAGCTAGCTTTCTGACCGCAGTTAAATTCGATGGCGGATACGTCCGTATTAGTCTCTCTCTCTTCTCAGCATTATCTGGTGAGCAGTTCGGACTGCTAAATTGCGGTCCGCAGAATAACCGTGATGAGGTGGTAGGGATACACCCCTTGCTAGTGATACGCCCTCTGGTAGGTACCTTAGGCCGCAAGGGCGTTGTTCAAGCTTGTTTTCAGCACAAGAATCCGGTGCCCCAACTCAGCCTGTGTTTATTCAGACCGAGCGGCAGAAGAACACATCCACGGACCCCAGTCCATCAAATTACTTCTTCCTTGACGATCCTGTTGAGATAGGGTTGGAGTTGATTGAGGTTGAACCGCCAGAATGTTGGTTGAAGGAACATGCTCTTATTGCAACATCGAGCGACCCTAATGTCGATAGTATACAACGAACCTGGACTCGGTTTCGACCTGAAGGTAATCGAGCCCATGATTTCCTGGTACTTCTAGAGTTCCAAGCGAAGAGATCGCAATTCCAGGCTCGATGCCACATGATGATATCCGCCAGAAATACGCCCTTGGCGGACTTAGCCCAGAGCGCTGGTCGCTTAAGGCAAGATGCATTCGGCAAAAGAATCGCCAGCGACTGTACGCTTAGTATCCAGGCAAGCGTGGAACGTGATAGTCTGCAGAAGATATTTGTGTTGAAACTGGCTACAGTGGCAAGTCCACCTAGCGTCACTGTTGATACTACGTTTGAGTTAGACGAACTGATGCTTAAGCTGGAACGGGAGAGCTTAATGAAGGATAAAGATAATGTTTGTGGTGAAGTAGTGAATATCAAAGAGCAGGAAGTGAAGGCATCTTCCTCTTTGGAGTTTGCTAAGGCAAGCTTGGCTAAGACAGAAGAAAAGTTAGTACGGTTGAATGAGCTGAAGGCCCGAGTACTCGAAGTAGTCAACAGAACTTCACAGGGTTCGGTTCAGACCTGTCCTTGAGCGGAACAGATTAGACAACGGGGAATCATGTTGTCCGAACGCAGGCGCTCACTTGTCCGGAAATTAGACGATCGGAAGCAAATAGCCCTGGAAAGTGGTTATGGTCTGCCTCTGCATCAGACTTTAGGCAAGGAAATAAAGCTCTTGGTTCCCCAGATGGTCAATCAATGCCGCACAGCACCCCTTCAACAATGTATTCTGGTTGGATTCTGGGGGAGGAAGAACCGATGCCGTCTGACTCCGAACTGGTAGACAGTGAGGCCAAATTGGCAAAAGATATTTGGAAAATAGTCAAAGATGATGCCTTTTTGACCGGACCCTTCAAAGATAAAGAATATTTTCTGGCACACCTCGTCAAGAAAGCCATACTTATGTATTCGGACTATGACAACACAGTTGGGCTCCAAAACATTGTGCTCCTATCAATCAAGATTGCTATGTACCAACAAGCGTTCTACGTGGTAAGTTATTGCTAGCTTCAAATGGCCAGTATCTATCTGGCATGTTGCTCAACTCTGCGAACTATTTCAAATGACAGCCCTGCAATGGAGTATACTATTCGCCGAGACGCCCAGGCAGAGTTCGTCAAGCGAATGACCGAGGCCAAAACCAAGACTCTCCCTCACGGCAAAGGGGTTGCGCTGCGCTTCATCAATCACGATGCCGATAACGCCTCTAATCTGAACTCTGAAAGCATACAGAATATCATGGAGTCCCTGCCACTTAGGTCCTTGGGGTACACTGCCATTGTTGAGAATTTGAGGTCTAAGGTTTTAGAACCTCTAGTTTATGAAAAGTCTGAAGACCGGAGACTTGACAGGCCGCTGATCGTAACCATCACCATTGGCGGCTATTTGGAGTTTGGGGCTGAGTCGGAACTTGCTGACGATATAATAGAATGTGGTAAAAAGCTACACGACGCTGGGTATGCCCGCAGCTGTATGTGACTTCCGCCCTACATTGTCTCTCCCACATCATTATATCCAGCCGATGTTATGCGCTAACCGGAGCAATTGACAGCTGTGAAGCTTTTAATTGTCTCAATTGGTTGGAGTAGAGTGACCATGGGATTTCTCGAACGCCTCCAAAGCAACCCGGACATTCGTCCTGTGATTGCCGGTGCTGATAGTAGTCGTGGTAGGCCGCATGCCCTGTTTCCCATTACGAGTTGTACAGTTTCTCACTTATTTGGTGGCCCAAGGTGGGTACACTATGGATTATTTCAAGAATATAGATGAAATGGAGTGGGGATTTGAGGTGAGCTTTTTTACTCTAATCGTCTATTGCTTATACTTTCCTTGTTGGCCGGCACTGACAGGTATCTTCTTCAGGCAATCAAGTTCCTGTCCCACTTTATCGAGAATGGCAACTAAGTCCCTATAAGAAAAGCCTTCTTCATCAATCTGTATATAAGGGGCATACCGTAGACGGCGATAGTGTCTAGGGTTTCATCAAAATTATGAGCGCTCTTAGCAATAAGCAGGTCCGTTAGCCTTGATTGGCGTGGTTCCCGCCAAGCATTAGGACGCGCCGGCTTTCGCCCCTTGATCAGTTGCTATTTATGTTAACGACCGACTACAAACAGCGATGGTGAAATGACGAGAATACTAGGGACTTCCATTATATCTGACCCATAAAGATGGCTCGCTTACCGCATGCCGTCAAATGTCTTGTGTCCAACCTCACATTCAACGCCCACTCGCCTTTGTCCCGAGGTTATCTCAGATGTTACCCCCAGTCATTGTGTAGATGGTCACAGTGCATGAACCGCAGAGCAATGTCGACCTCATCTTCTGCTCAAACGGTACCGCGCATATTTCCGACCTCGGGATTCGAGATTCTTGATTCGGCAGAGGCTATTGAAGAAGAGACTTTACCAACCTACAATGCTGAGAAATACTACCCCGTTCGCCTCGGGGAGATTCTGCACGGTCGATATCAGGTCGTTGCCAAGTTGGGATATGGTGTCACTTCTACAGTCTGGCTCGGTCGCGACTTAAGGTAGGCTTCTTATGTCCTCGGTCGGCCCTCTCGTAATTCCTACCCTGTTACTGATTAAACACTCTCAGTGATTCTAAGCATGTCGCTTTGAAAATTTATGTCACTGGTGTGGAAAGAAATCACGAACTTGATGTTTATGATCGCATAGGTGCGGTTGAAACAGACCATGCGGGTCAAAATCTTATTCGTAAACTATGGGGGCACTTCTTCCTAGAAGGTCCTCATGGCCATCACATGTGCCTCGTGCATCAACCACTTGGTCTTAGTGTTGATCAGTTTTTAAATTTCTTTCCTGGAAGAGTGATGAGACTTGACGCCGTGAAGCCCTGCATGCGACAGGTATTAGGTATAGTCGATTTCCTACATACTGAAGCGCAGGTCATACATACTGGTATAATTTCGAGCAATCCTAACCATCGTACATCATGACTGACAGTCCTAAAGATCTACAATTAAAGAATCTACTACTTCCGGGTGACCCAAAGAATTTCTCGGGTCTTGAGGATTCAGAGATTGAGGCACCCTCGCCAAGAAAGGTGCTTAGTTCTGAGCGCACAATCTACACCAGCCATATTGTTGTCCCCGGCAATGGATTGCCATTGCTCAGTGACTTTGGAGAAGCTCGCTTCACCGAAGAAGAACATGACGAGGATATCATGCCAAATCTCTACAGGGCCCCCGAAGTGGTGCTAAAGATGAATTGGGATAGCAAGGTTGATGTGTGGAGCATTGCCCTGATGGTGAGAGATTATGCTTATTGAGGTCATTTTTCATGTAGTTTATACTTACTTTCATGCAGGCCTGGGACATGGTTTGTACCCGAACACTATTCGATGGTAGAAACAGTGATGGTATTTTTGATGATCGAGTCCATCTTGCGGAAATGGTTGCGATTATGGGACCACCTCTCACTGACTTCATTAAGCGAAGCAAAGTAGGCTCGGTATTTTGGGATGAGAATGGTATGTTGCCAACTGAATCAGCTATTTGACATGAAGCTTCGGCTAAAATCTACATTCAGGCAAATGGAAGGACCTTGCACCGGTGCCGAAGATGACACTTGAGGAACGGGCGGTTGATATCCAAGGACCTGACAAGGAAGCATTCTTGAAACTTATGCGAAGAGCATTAACATGGGACCCCAGAGACAGACCAGCCGCAGGAGAATTGATATTTGATGAGTGGCTTATGAAGGGATTGCAGCTTCCGGCTCATCTGTCAAAGGAAACCTAGTCGTAATCGGATTTCGTCTGTTGGATTGAATAGAAAGTGTTAATTTTGACAAATCATACCTCTTATAGCGCACAAGAGGAACTCTTTTTATCTGTATACCTGAAGGCGTAGTTGGGCATTTAGATAGTCTAGTAGGTGCTCGATAAGTGAAAAGTGGAGCCGGCGGAAGAGTTGGGGAAAAAAAAGACCGGGCGGGTGCCTGAGGATCCGGAATCCAGAACGGCTTCCGCATTTGGGATTCTCGTTCTTCTTTCCGCCGACCAACCATTCATCCACCCTCACCACAGTCCAGCCATCATGTCGTCTCGCACCGTCTGGAGGAGCCTCCAATTGCAAGCCCGGAGACGATTTATTGTCCCGGAGACACCATACCGCTGTTTCTCCTGCACACGACGTGCCCAGGACCCGCCCAAGTTCAACCAGGACGATCGCATGACCCATTTCGGCTTCCAAAATGTTCCCGAAGCACAGAAGGAGTCTTTGGGTAGGTTCATCTGGGATATTTTGCATCTATAGGACTGGAGAAGGAAAGGGCTTACTAATGTCTGTGCCAATGTCTAGTGGGAGCCGTCTTCAGCTCCGTTGCCTCGTCCTACGATGTGATGAACGACATGATGTCGCTGGGCATCCACCGCCTGTGGAAAGATCACTTTGTCCGCTCTCTCAACCCCGGATCCGCACTTCCCTCTCGCGAACACGATACGGCCGGCCGTGGTTGGAACATTCTCGATATCGCCGGCGGGACGGGCGACATCGCGTTTCGCATGCTGGACCACGCGACGAACATCAACAATGACCACGAGACCCGCGTAACGATCGCCGATATCAACCCGGACATGCTGGCGGAGGGTCAGAAGCGCAGCGTGCAGACTCCTTACTACAACACAAACCGACTGTCGTTCATGCAGGGCAATGCGCAGTCCATGCCTTCCATTCCGGATAACTCGGTGGACCTCTACACTGTTGTTTTCGGTATCCGCAACTTCACGGATAAGCAGGCAGCCCTGAACGAAGCGTTCCGTGTGCTGAAGCCCGGTGGTGTGTTTGCCTGCATGGAGTTCAGCAAGGTCGACAATGCCCTGTTCAATGCGGTCTACAAGCAGTGGAGTTTCAGCGCCATTCCCATGATTGGTCAGCTGGTGGCCGGTGATCGGGACAGCTACCAGTACTTGGTGGAGAGTATTGAGCAGTTCCCTAGCCAGGAGGAGTTCCGCGGCATGATCCAGAAGGCTGGCTTCATGATCCCGGGACGTGGCTTCGAGAATCTGACTGGGGGAATTGCCGCTATCCACAAGGGTATCAAGCCGCTTAACCGGGCTTAAGAGGGGCAACTGAAAGGATGGATGGATGGATGAATTGTTTCAGACAGTGTACACTAGCATTATCTTTTCGCCACTGTAATAATATTGATAGTCAAATATTGACATGGAAGACAACTGAGCGTGTCCGGAACGGCAGCGGGGAATGGATCTGCAAGACATCAGCAGCGTTGCGGATGGTGTGATGGCGGATTCCGAATGGCCGGGCGGAGACCGACTAAGTAGGGGTTTAGAACTTAGAAGTGCGTAGAAGGATGCATGCATCGGGATCTAGAAGGTGGTGCAAAAGGAAGACCAGATTTCATTTCTAATCGTTCGGGGAGGTGGTCAGCTCTAGCAAGCGGATTGGAGAAGAACATCCGATCCGAGGCAACTTTTCTTTATCTCTACTAAGTAATCTAGATAATCCTATCACCAAAATCAGCCACCCGGACTTTCCCTTCCCTCCTCTCTTCTTTCCCTCCTCCACTTTTTTTGTTTCTGTTTTGCCCCCCCCCACCATCGGATTTCTCCTCCTTTCCCCTCCTCAACTGCGTCTCCAGGTTCGCGTCCGGGATCTTTCTTCCCAGGCTTACCTCCTGGGAGAAAGGCGCCGTCTCACTCTCTTTCCCTCTCTTTCTCTCTCCCCCACAGAATGGTTTCATGACCATGGGGCACCTAAAGCAGCCATTCGCGATCCCGCTGTCGCCCGCCATGCCCCTCCCGGAGTCCAACCCCTCCATCCACGATGATTTCCTCCTTCCGATGACTCCTCCAGATCCCTCCGAAGTCCCGCTAATGGGAACCAAGGACACTGCGCCCGTGGCTTCAGCCCTGCAGGTTATCGCGGCGGAGCGCGCCGCTCTGGCGCATCTGGAGCACATTTACCAGACCGATCCGTTGGCTCAAGATAACCTCGCGCGCGCGGTGGCTCAGATCGTGCGCACCATCAAGCATGGCGGGAAATTGGTCTGCTGCGGTGTCGGCAAGAGTGGCAAGATTGCTCAGAAGCTGGAAGCCACCATGAACAGCATGGGGATCTACAGTGCCTTTTTGCATCCCACGGAAGCCTTGCACGGCGACCTGGGCATGATACGACCGGTAAGGATGTTCTGGTCTATATGTAAGGGTGAACCACACACTGACTAAAACTGAACGCACCAGCATGATACACTATTGTTAATATCTTTTTCGGGCCGTACACCGGAGCTTCTGCTCATGCTCCCTCACATTCCTTCAACCGTTACGGTTATCGCCGTTACTTCTCATATGGTCTCGTCGACTTGCCCTCTGCTATCTTTCCACCCCTCGAACATGGGGATCCTCTTGCCGGCACCGATCCACGAGGATGAAGAGACCTCGATCGGCGTATGTGCCCCGACCTCGTCCACCACGGTAGCCCTATCGCTGGGAGATGCACTGGCTATCGCTACGGCCCGGCGGCTACATACAGCCCCTGGTAGAGGGCCGGCGGAGATCTTCAAGGGCTTCCATCCTGGCGGGGCTATCGGCGCTGCGTCCATGGCTTTGACGCCTATGAGCATGTCATCCGCATCAAGTTCTGCCGCCCCATCAGACTATATTCCAGCCCAACAGACCACGAACTCATTCCCGCAGTCAGACGGCAAACCCAATCAGCGTCCACTCGTCCGTGACATGCTCGTGTCACTCGATCAGATTCCCAGGGTGTCTGCCTCGGGTAAAGTCCGTCTTCTGGACATTCTCCTCACTGCTATCCAGCACCCCAACGCCAAGTCATGGGTTCATCTCTCACCGTCCGAAATCGTGCCCCCACGGCATCTCCGCTTCGTCTCCCAGAGCAACTATGTAGATATGCACGTTTCTGCCTTCACTGAACTGGGTCTACCTTTCGGGGTCTCCCGCAAGGACTGGTTCCGCCTTACGAGCTCGAGCACCATCGATGACGCGCGCCGGCTGGTCTCCGAGGCCGGTGCATCCTCAGGCACCCCTGTGACCGTGGTAGCCGTCATGGACAACACCAACCCCGACCACTGTCTCGGGGTCATAGAAGCTGAGGATCTATGGAATGATTGTGATGACTAAAATATATTTATATCCCCTCCCCACTCTGAACCTCCTGATGATGTATATGAACTCATGCCTGATTTTTGTGTGTCCTTTTGCCTTTTGTCTTATAAATATTCCGTTTCAACCGCAATAGATAGCTTTGGGGACATGTATTCCCTACCTGGAATGGGTTTGTCTGCTGGTGGGGTATGTCATTATGTTGCAACCTCAGCATGTTTTCAATCTTCGACTTTTCGGGTTGTCTATATTTCTCACTTACATATTACTACTATTCTTGTGGGAACCCTGTTGCTGTCCATACCCACCTTCATACATACAACTTCAATCACTCCGCGTTCTTTGTGGATTGAGTATAGAAGACTTATTTTTCTTACTAGTTAGCACTAGATACCCGATCTCTCACGATCATGACAGCAGGAAAGGAAAATGGTACTTGTTCTGTTTGTTTGTCCGATTTCAAGTCTAATTCTACCATCATCTTTGTAGGTAATCATCTAACGTATCGGTACACATATCTCAAACCAGCCGGGAGAAACCAAATAAACAGGGTATAAACATCATCGAGGGGACATGATAGCAGCACACAAAAAGCAGGCCGAAAAAGAAGGGGCGGAGGCAAAATATTAATCTATGGTATCTTCAACGCATTACTCGTAACACTGCGGAACGCCTGATATAATCAAAAGGACATAGCATCAAAACATGACCTAAGTTCTTTTCTTTTAGAAACCGACGTCCACCATTATAGGTGGGGAATAAGGAAGGGGGTAGTTCATGTCCCGTTTCACCGTGGTATCCGTGCCCGGTCGGGATCAAAGGGGCGCGGATGTCACTGGAGTGGTTTATCAAGCACATTTTGAAAGAGGCAGGGTAACAAAATGACGAACGAAGAGAGAGAGATCGATCTGTTACAGCGGGGGATGTGATGATGACTCTGGCACCGGGCCGAGATATCCCGCACGGTCTTTGAACTGGGTATCTCAATGGGTTCATGAGACGACCGGGGCTGACTCTGTTACAATGGATGCCCATTTGTTCTCTTTCTCTCTCTTCTGCCTGTGCTCGAGTCTTCCTGTGGTGGTGAAAGCGGGACGACTCGGATGGTTCGTTTCAAATCGGGGAGTGGAAATCACCGGAAGGCGATTCACCCCGACGATCCGGGTTCTTGTCGGCCTTTGCCCTTGTCGGTTGATGCTGTGCTGTCGTCCTTGTAGAGGTTGTGTTGTTCGATGTAATGGATTACAGGGACGGGAATCAGGTACCGAACGCTCATGTCACGTCTCAGGAACAGACGGATTTTGGTGCTACTGACGTCATTTTGGATAAGTTGTTGAATGACATGGATGTTTTTCTTCCACGTTTGCAGGGCAGCGAGCGCTTCATCAATGTCGGTTCCGGTGCGTTCCACGATGAAAGTCTGGGAAGAGTATTAGCGGAGATCCCAGGAATGAGGATGAAAAGTGGCAGAAAACATACGCCGTATTTTCCGAGAATGTGGTCAAGATCCTTTTCGCTCCAGACTCCAGGAGTTGACATGGTATGGACCAGATCTGCACCTGCCAGCAGAGCAATCTGGATGGGCTTGCGAGTACCATTGCCGGCCTCGATGCCCTGTCGTACAGTGTTGATCTCATGATCAAAATGGTCCAACAC